AAAAAGTTAGTCTGGAGCCCTGGAGTGTGACAGCGACAGCGCTGTTAGGTGTTTACACAAACATTGTGTCAGCTGCGTGGCTGCTGCAGAGCTGCTGCTGACAGGACTATCTTTCTATACTGAGTTTGCCTTTGATAAACACAATACAATAAAAGCCTTGTTAACATATGAATGGACTGTCTATAGAAATGGGGTGTTGAGTTAAAAAAAATATTGTTGATATGACCATTAACAGACCATTTTCACTGTCCATTTTTGCTGGGAATGGCATGCAGTTTGTGAAAAAAAAAAGAGCCAACTTTATGAACTATCTCTGTTACAAACGTTTGTGGCAGGGGCATCAAACTAACAGTTTGTTAGCCTAAGTTAAATTGGGGTTGGCCAAGTAACATTTCAATATATGATCCGCATATATTTTCTAGTGTTCTGTCTATGTGTGTGTCTGTCTGTGTTTGTCACTTTGGCGAATACCCAGGATGTTGCCTGCTCGCACCTACGGACTGCGTATGGAACACGAGCTTGAGCAACAGAATGCTGACCAGTTCACTTAATAGCCATAGTATTCAACCCCAGGTGCTGTGAGTAGTGAGTGATTACATTGCAGACTTAATCTCTGTCTTTAATTGATAGTAGCAGCTGAAGAGTGGAAGGAAAAGAGGGAGACACACGCAACAAAAGGGCCACAGGTAGGAGTCAAACCGCCGCTGCAGCATGAACATTGGGCCAGCAACTACTAGGTGAGCTATCTGGGTGCCCAGAAAAACATTTTTGTCAAATGATGTGAATGCTGAGATACAAAATATACTAATAGTGGATCATGTCCTTATTTCTGTAAGAATTTCTCTTTTTTTGCTGTCCACGCCTTCATTTACTTTTCATACAATGTTACTGACTGACCTACTTTGCTATTGCTAACCTCTCCAAATTCACCTAAGAGTCCCATTTTCAATGCCCCCTTCCCTTTGTCCTCCCCATTCCACACTTATGCAACACAAGTACTCAATAAATTCACTAGAACTTTGTGAACTTGATTCATTGACCTTAATTATTGCTTTAAAACTGTTAATTTGGCTGCTGAACTTAAAAACACAAACACAGGAGTAGTGAGCACTGCGGTGGGTAATGTTACATAAGGCCTCCTTATAAAATGCATCGACTTCACCCATACCAAATCTCCCTGGAAAATAAGTAAGTTAAGTTGACAGCCCTGGAACTGCTTACATTAGGGAACCTTAATGTTACAACCAATAGGTTTTAGTCCAACAAGTTGATTCAGACTATAAGCAATCTCCCGGCCAAAGAAATTAGCTAGCACTAGTTAGCTTTCAAGCTAATAACAATGAATAATTTGCTCTCATTGCATTCGTGCAGCAATACCTGCGTCTGGTTGTGGTTAGTGAATTACACTGAATATGTAACCAACAACGTTTTCGATAGTTAAGCGTACCACGGTGTGCCTTTAGATAGCCATGTCCATATTTTCAATTGGGAAATAAAAAACAAGTTTAGCCCCATAACAGTTAACGTTACACAGTAAAGGAGGTTGACCTAGCTCTGCTATGTTGTGTTGTGTTGATGATGATGGCCATACTGAACCACTTCAACTTACAGCTTACAGCAAACAACTTCGCACACTGTGGTAAGTATTTACGACACAAAACTTTGAGGAGTAAATATAGTATATGTGATCTGAAGTAGTCTTTAACTGATAAAACAGGTAATTTCTCTGACAATATAGTCAAGATAACGTTAGCTAGACAGTGTCTGCAGTTAGCTGGCTGTCCGCAGAATAAATACAAACAGACATTTTACTCACATTTTTAACGTAATACTTGTAGGTGTAAATTAAATCCAAAGAATGTAGAGCATCGGCTTCGTGGGTAAAAACATATTTCTGTGACAAAAGCTGGACTGGTGTTACGTCTGGCCGTCTGCCTGTATTTCTGGTTTAAGAATACCATCAAAACTGCACTGGGACCAACAGCCAATGGCTTTTAATTTAATCGTGACTGACGTCTTTCTAACCAATCCTCAGTGTCAGTTCTTCTTCTTCTTCTGTTTCTGTTTTCTGGCGGGCTCCACCGTCAACCTTACGCAGGGCTGGTCTCATATCCAATAAAAGACAGAGTAGGCGGGATTTTAACGGCTTTGTCACCACCCACCTAGAGCCAAGGGTCTGTCCTAGGTTTCTGCCTGTTAACAGGCAGTTTTTCTCAGTAATAAAACCCCTTCGACCTTCTTCTTGCCCTGAATACTGCCTAAAGCCAATTGGATGTAAATAACATTAGAATAATGTCAAGAATTTCACACGTTACTTTTTAGTGTTTTTTATTTTTATTCATCCAGTATCTACAGAGCAGAATCAACAACTCCCTCCTTCTACCACTCGCCGGCCCAGTTTTCCTTTGTTGCCTCCATGAGCCTATTCTGCTACTTTTTCATCGTAGGAATGAAGGAGCCTCACTGGCCAGCGCCCGGTAGGACTCCTTGTCACGCAGTCCAATCTTGTTAAAGGGAACTCTGCAACTTCTGTTCAGCTTGGCCCGCTGTTGCCGGGTGGAAAATGTGGTGTGGCTCGAGCCCCAAGCGGGAAATCCAACCTGGGTGCAACTTTGGGACCACCGACTCCGCCCGGTGTAAATTGGAAAACTATGAAGTACCGTGCGCGAGGAAAGCCGGAGAAATACGAGCGCAGAAACAGCCACGAACGCGTTTTATCTGGCAGAGTTCCAATAAAACGCTCCTCAATAACGGTTAGTGTAATAGATGTTATTAATACATACAGTAGACTATGATGAATGGAATAGGATACACTTTTATTGTAAAGGCCGCCTCTCTTTGGGGCACTCGGAGGACACCACAACAACAAATAAATCAAATAACATTAAGAAACAAGAAACAGAGTAAGAAAAGACAATGTATACAGGTTAAGTGGGTATGCAAATTCTGAAAAGCGTGTATTTTTTAGGTCTGATTTGAAGAGCTGTGGGAGAGAGTCCAGGTTCGCGTGAGCGTCGCTGGTCGCAGTGAGTGTCCAGAGTCGGGGGTCAGAGGCATGCGGGGGCGTGAGAAGCCGCGCTGCCTCCCCATCTGGGGGCGCGGGCGCGTTGACGCAGGCGGGCGGGGAGGACCAGAGAGCGCGTGAGACAGAGGAGCCAGATCTGGATGTGAGGCGGTAACGGAGAGGGGTGGGCAATGTCGGAGGATTTTCGACACGATAAGGAGGGAGGAAAGGTTATGGATGCCTTGAACGGTAATAACCAGGAACATTGTTGTGATGTCAATGCGGAGTTTAACCTGCGGAGCCAGTGGAGCTGGGGGGGTGCCTGCAGAACAGGGCGTGATGGTGTGTCGGATGGAGGCGGTTCTGGGAGATGATTCGATGAATGCAGAGCTGCGTGGAGCCAGTCTGAAGTTCGGGTGATGGAGGGCTATTTGTTGTGGGGTCGCGCGGCGGGCTGGGGGTCAGGCACCGAAGAGAGAGACAGAGTTGCAGCGTAGATCGAGGGCGGGAGCGCGTGACAGCGAGGCTGGGTGCTACCAAGAGGGATGGCGGGGAGTGGGGGAGTGCGGAGGAAAGGGAGGGGCGGAGGCGCGACTTTGAATATTGCGCGTAGGTGGAAAGTATTCCAGATCCGGTGGTGGACTGTGTATTGATGATGATGTAAACGCAGTTAAGAGCTGCTGTCGAAGGTCGGCGTACGGGAAATGGAATGAGGGATCGACACCCAGACTCTTGAGGCGTAATCTCTGGGGGAGGGGAGACAGTGAGGAGGGGTGTGCAATGCGTGAGACAAAGATCTGTCAGCTTTTGAAGAGGCTTGGATTTAGTGCCAGAGTAAGTGAGGTGAGTTCTGTTTTCGGATCACTGTTGAGTTTGAGAAAGTGAAGACGACCAGGATTTGAAGTTCCAGGTGGAACGCCAGTCAGTAAGGGAAAGAAGTTGGAAGAGTGGAATGGGTTGCCTGGACGGAGGCGGTGCGCCGGCGTAGGAAGCTGGGGGTTTCGACTGCGGGCCGCGCGTAGCGCACATGCGAAAGTAGGATGCTGTATTGTTGCGGGAGAAATATTTGTCCAATGGGAAGAGACGGTGGAGATGATGAAGAGAAGGCGGGCCCCCAGGACGGAGCCCCTCGGGCGCAGGCACCAGCGCGGACGCCGGGGCGGCGACGGTTGGAACTGGACACGGATTGCTGAGCTGGATGAAGCTGGAGTGCGGCCTGAGAGGTCAGCGGATGGTGAGGAACCAGTCAAGGGCCCGGCCGAGGGCGGGCCGCGGGGGGTGGGTGCGGAGTGGGCCGGCGTGCCGCCTGCGTTGAAATACCATATACATTAGTCTGCTTGGAGGAGGATAGTGTGGGAGGATGTGCTCGAAGGCTGCAACTCAGATCAAGCGAGGATGAGAATTAGCTGCAGTAAACCAGAGTCGGCTGCCAGGAGCAGAAGTTCGTTTGTATTACCCACTCGGTAGATTTCCTCCACACAAAAAAGCTTGCCCCGGCGAAAAAAAGCGCGATCAGCACCGCGTAGAAAGGGGAAGGAGGTGCCGCAAGTAAGTTTTTTTTACGATCGGTGTTGTAAATACCACGAGCCTAGAGCTGTTACGCGGAGCTCGTTGAGAATAATATGCGATGACAAAAGTTAAACCAGCCAAGAAAGGCTACGAGTTGCCAAGTTCCCCTTTAAGGAATGCTCTCCCAGTCATCTCCTCAGTCATCTCCTCAGTCGTCATAGAAATCATCACACTCCTTCAATTCCAATTCTAATTCAATTTTATTTGTATGGC